GCCAGTGTGGGCGTAACACGGGGAGATGACACCCAAGGGGGAATGACACTGTCAGGGGGGATGGGCTACTTCGCAGCTAGACTTACCAGGGCTCTCACTCAGGTATCCGTTCTCTAAGGTGAGAGGGGGAGGGGGAAGGGAAGCCGATGGTGATAAGCAGGTAGGGAGAGATGACAGATGAGTGACAGGTAGGCAGAGATGACAGTTAAGTAGGTGGGCAGCTTGAGAGGTGGATTAATGGGTAGACAGAGCGTGATATCACTGTGTGTCATTGGCAAACACGCCCACACATGGCTCCGTGGGAACAGACTATCTGCAACACAACCTGAGTGGACATGTCTGGTTGGTCACCAGCTCAAAGCGATGAAGCTCTGCTCAGAAAATGATGGTGCCAAGTGCAGCCCCAGCGCCAGGAAGCTGGACCTCAGAAGGAAGCCTCCAGACTCCCAGGACAGCCGCTGTGGGGAGATGTGGCACCACCAGATGCAGCATCTTCCAGCCAGAGCCAGTGTGGGAAATACACTTGGCCCAGTTTACAGGCTAAATGGCCCATTATAGTCTAGTCTCCAGGCCTGACCCAGCAGTCAGCTGACTGGCCTGCTCTTTTCAGTATAAAAGTCCATTTGGGGGAATGTTCCCATCGAGATTGAACTGGTCCTTCCAGGCTGCAGACTGGCACCTGGAGGACTCAGATGACAACTGGGGCCCTTGACTAGGCCTTTCCATTTGGGCTGAAGCTGGCCACGTGGCATGGATTCCCACTAGGGCGCTTCCTCCCACTTGCACAGGGCACTGAATGTGGAGGGGAGGTGTCTCTCCTTTATCTGTCCCTCCCCTGCTGCCACCATAGTCCAGGCCTCAACATGCACCACCAGGAGGCTGGGTCACCTGTGTCTTGCTGCCCATTTAACTTCTAGGCCAAGAATGAGAGGACAGTCCCCTGCTACCAGGTCCTAAGTGATTGAGAGGCTATTTTTGTAAGGCAGTTTGTGAAAAAGTTGGAGCTGCCCCAAAACATTGGTCTGAGTGTCCCAACTGGGGCTATTGGCAGGACTACCCCCAAATCCACCCTCTGACCCACGACTGGAGGGATGGGTCCAAAACCATCCTGGTTTACTCCCTTCATGAACTCTGGTCAGCACACGGTACCTTCCTCACCTCCCTGCCCCTCTCCCCTCCCCTCTCCTAATGAGACCCCTTCCATGCAGCCTGGACAACCCAGAGCCTGGGCCAAAGGGGCTCCCTGCTTTGCCACCCCTCCCACCCCAGGCCGCACTGTGGAATCAAAGTGGCCAGCCTGACTCCAGATCAGAGCCTAGCTGGGCCTGGGGCTTCTTACCCTAATAAAAGCAAGGGGTGCTCAGGGCATGGTGGGACTCCTTAAAGAGAACAGAGCCAGCCTGAAGTCTCCCACAGACAAGCTGGTACAATCTGAGTATTCAAATAAGTGACAGTAATTGATTGCAACCCACTGGATAAAACAAGAAACCACAAGCCACGATGTAAATCATGACTAATTGAAATCAATGACTAACTGAAAAGTCGATGAGAAACTACCCCAACCTGTGACACATCCACTTTCCCAAGACTCTTGGCACCAGGACGTGGCCCAGGCAGGACATGGGGACCAACATTATTTTCTGCAGTGCTCCTGCCCAAGGAGTCACTTGAGTCTAGACAAGGGACACCCTCAGAACCCCACAGTAGGGGGTGTGCTGAACATCACAGGTCTGAGATGTCACCAGTGCCTGGCCTAGAATGTCAAGCAAAGACAGAGGCACTGGAACAGATGGAAGGACTAAAGACGTGAGACCCCTACAAGGTGATTCCTAATGGGGAACGGACTGGCTGAAAAAGGTGCCCCAGGACAGGCCTGTGGGTTAGGCGGCAATGAGGGGCCTGTGCTACTCTGACTTGACAGTTGTTTTGTGGTTAAGAAAATGTCATTGTTGTAGGAAACTCACCCTAGTCTTCGGGGTGATGCACGTCAAGGCAGCACACTCTCAGGCTGTTTGGGGGAAGAAACTCTCTACTTGCAACTCTGTACTTATAAGTTTGAGACTGTTTTGAAAAGCATCATAGCCCCATCATTCCCATTTTAATTTTACTTTTTAAAAATATGTCTTCATTGATTTCAGAGAGAGGAAGGGATAGATACAAACATCAATGATGAGAATCACTGATCGGCTGCCTCCTGCACGCCCCTTGCTGGGGATCGAGCCCACAACCCGGGCATGTGCCCTGACTGGGAATCAAACTGCAATCTCCTGGATCCTAGGTAGGTGCTCAATCACTGAGCCATGCCAGCCAGGCTCCATTATTCCCATTTTACTGGTTGGTAAGTGAAGGCTCAGAGTGGTGGTTGCCAGCCCAAGGTCACACAGTTGGTTGAGCCAAGTTTCCTAAGAGTCACCTCATGGGTGACTGAGGGACCAGGTGGGGGCAGAGGTGGGGAGGCAGGGGTGGGCCTCCTAGTGTGCACCCTGGCGGGATCCCTGCAGGTGAGCAGCGGGCTCTGCTGGATCACCAGTCCTCTGGCAGCTGTGCCACTATGGCCATACCGCAGGCTTACAGGGTGAGGGGCACCAGCAAGCACTCAGCTGAAGCTGTACTCACAAGCAGGTCACACTCAGAGGGGGGCCCCCAACCCCTAAGGTGGGAACATAAATAGGTGTGGCCACATAACCATCTAGCAGTTCTTCAAACTACACACAGTCACCTCCTACCCCCTGGCCCACCAACTCCATTCCTGGGTACATGGCCAAGACATGGAGAGGCCCATGCGGAAACCTGTATGTGAGCACTCACAGCAGCTGTTCTCAGAAACCAGGGGTGGGAAGAGACAAGGGGACAATGTCTGTGGACAAATAAAAAAACTCATGGTCCATCCCCACAGTGGAAAGTCATCCAGTCAGAGGAATGCGACTGAAATGTGCAGCAACATGAAGGAAGGCTAAAAGGTGTCGAGTGAAAGAAGCCAGAGACCACACATTGTATGACCCCAATTATTCTGAAGTCCAAATGAGGGAACCTGTAGACAGAAAGGTTAGTGGGTGCCAGGGCATGGGAGGGTGACAGCTAAAGATGTCTTCTGGGGTGAAAATGTTCTGAAATTGGCTGTGGTGATGGTTACACAGTACTGAGTACCCTAAAAAGCACTGACTTGTCCACTTTATGAGGGTGCACTGCATGGATGTGAACTTTCTCTCAATAAAGCATTTTTAAAAGGACAGGAAACAAATTAGTGCCAACTGAACACGAGCTTTCTTGGGGGGGGCAATGTTGATCACATTCACCTTTTCAGGGTTTCATCACTTTGCCCAACGAGAACATTTCCTGACGGGGAGAAGTTCTGCCAGAGTGCCTGCTGTGAATCAGCAGCCCCTGGCGCACTGACAGTTATGTCCTTATGTCAGGAGCACAAAGTGGTTAAGATCAGATTCCAGGGGAGGGCGGAGGCAGTGACAAGCCATGGAGCAGATGAAGGGCTCTGGAGTAGGAACTGCAATAGGGTTATAACTGTTCCCACCCCAGAAATTTCTACAGTATGGCTGGTTCCCTAACATTATGACCCAAGGAATTTCAACAAAATTGTGAGTCGCTTGGGGGAAAGGGAGCTATGAACTCCAGATGACTTTGCAGTTGTGCTCCCTTCTTCCTGTCCTAACCCTGCTCTCCCAGCCAGCCCCACCTGCCCAGCAGCTGGAATAGAGGGGGGTCCACATGGCCCTGGCTCCCCCTTGATTGGGGAACGAGCTTTGCAGCAGGGCTTGGGAACTGGGGTTCGGTTCCAGCCTCAGTGGGTCTTTCCCAGGGTGCTCCTTTTGCAGGCTCATCCACACGCCTCAGCCCAGCAGTGGCCCAATTGGCCTGGATGCCTGCAGAATGCAGGATATAGGCTAAACCCACGACGGTCTCCCTGACACCTCTGCAGTCACGGCTACAGCACTGCCTGGAGGCTGCCGGGAGCCCCCGGTGCTGCTTCACATTCCTGCTTCCCCTTGTTGGGGTTCTGGGGCCAGGGACTCCTTACAGCACACTCCATCTGGGGAGGTGCCCACTCCATGGCATTCTGGTCAGGGTCCAGAACGTGCAGCTGCTCGGGCCCTCCCGGATGACCTCTGGGATGAACACAGGGTTGGAACCTAATTTGAAGGCGCTGAGACAGGTATGGGGAATGAGCAGGTCTGCCCACTGCATGTCAGATCCAGCTCTGCCTCCAAGTCACAGACCAGGGTGGGCAGAGGAGCCACCTTTCCTGCCTCAGGCACATCAACCCTGAGCACCAGGGTCTGCTGTCAACTCCAAACACAAGTTTATAACGTGGAGAGTAACAGCCTGTCCAGAAACCTGCTGCCAACACGTGTGCTCTTCCAGATTGTTTGAGAAATGTATAAACAGATTTCCCCCCAAAAAATGGGTATAGAATATAAACCCTATGGGGACAGGCACCTGCCAATACACCCCACTGGAAACCTCCCCGCATAAGGGCACGGGCAGGACTCTACTTCTAAGAACCACACAGCATTTTATTATAGCCGCCCCATGGCGTAGCCGGCCCCCTGCCTTGCCAGGGAGGGTTGTTTACAGGGTGCTCCAGGTCTCAGGGTCCTTCCTGACTGAGGGCAGCGCAGTGGCGCACTCTCTGGGACACGGCACTGGTGAGAGCCAACATCATTTAGTGCTGATTTCTGACCGTGTCCGGTATCTCAGGAACATGGCCTACCTGTCTGCTAACACATTCAACACAGTGCAGACAGGAAGCAGTGTCGGGGACAGCACTGTTCTGCCTGGGCTTGGCCTGGCAATGTCATTTCTTGCTCTCCCGTGTCCCCTTCTTTTTCATGTCTGGCTCCGGGCGGCCAGGCACCTTCGCTCTGGCCCCTGCCTGTGGCCGCCGCCGCCTCTTGCTCACCCCTCTCCTGCCACGGGCCCCGGGCTGTTCCTGGGTCGCAGCTGGGTCAGCCCCCGTGCCCTGCCGCCGCCTCTTCCTCTCTGATCTGGAACTCAGGTCTGCACGTGGCTCCTCCTGTTCACCTCTCCCTAAAACATCACAGCCACATGAGTCAGGCGGCGAAGGCCGGGCTACTTTACATCAGTACTGACCAAAGGTGAGAGCACCGGGGCAGCAGAGGCCATGACAGCACCCGGCACAGAAGCACCGACAGACTCGGGAGCAGACACAACAGCCAACCAGGGCCGCGCCAGCGTGGAGATGCTGGCTTCTGACACCAGAGAGGCAGCCTCAGAAAGAGCAGCGTGAAGACGTGATCAGGGAAAAGACACGACAGAGGGGTCTAGGCTCAGGGCGCTGGGGGCTGGAGGTGATGGCCAGAAGGGACAGGCTCAGAAAGGAAGGCCAGGAGCTACAACTCAACTTGGTGCACAACAGAGCCATGAGATGGTGTTGTGGGGCCGGCCTAGAGCAGGTGTGCAAGCTGGCCCTGTGCCTGCTGCAAGCCCAAGTGTAAAACGAACGGAGGTGGCCTTGGCTGGAGCAGGGGGGGAATTGAGAAACCCTTCAAAGGGCACAGCCCATTTGCAGTGCAGCAGGCACCCCTGTGCCCTGCAGTGGGTGCAGGGCCTGAGGTGACAGAAGCTCAGTGAGGGGGCTGTCACATTCTCACCACTTGCTGAGGGGGAGAAGAGAAGGGAGGGGAAAGGTAGAGCACAGTGAGGTGAACAGGTCTCAGGAGGATGCAGAGAATGAGGAGTGGACGGGGCAAAACCCACCAGATGCATACGGATCAGATAAAAAAGGTCAGGAAGCAGCAGCCCAGACTGAAACTGCAGACAAGGAGAGCAGGGGAGATGGCGGGTGGCCCCGGGCGACCAGGTAAGCCCAAGGCACGGCTGCACAAGGCAGCCCCGCTGCTGCAGGGCATCCGGTCCAGGGCACCACATCTCCAGGACGCCTGGCGCTGGGGGCACCCTGGGCAAGCAGGGGGAGGGATCACACCTGGAGGCCAACATCAGGGAGACGGGCAGGCATGCTCCCCACTACAATAGGTGGGTAAGCCCCTCCACCACCAAGGGCACTGGTCCTACCTGGCTTGTTCTGCAACTGGGATTTGGGCAAACGCTTCTTCGCCTTCCTCCCCTGCCTCCCTTCCTGCAGTTTCCTGTAGGCTTCTTCTGGGATGTCATCCTCAGGGAAGATGCCTAAGGACAAGGTAGAAAGATGGTCAGGGGCTGAGGGCAGGCCTGATTCAGGTTGAGAGTTCACTGCTTCACATGACCCCACAAGCAGCCCCTCCCCAAGCTTCGTAAAAGGAGGCCCTGTTCCAATGCCCACCACAGCTCAGCAGGCTTGAAAACATAATTGGCACAATGCGGGACAGCCTGTTCTTGGAGTACTTAGAACATGCCACAGCCTACTTCCTAAAAATGCCTATGCTGGGAAGGGGCTCGAAAGCGACCTGGGACAGTGGTGATGCTTCATGTCTTGATGGGATTGGAGTTACAAAGGCTGGTACACTAATCAAAACCCACAGATGCACAGAGTATTCATGCATTTCACTGTATGTAAATTTCACCTTAAAAACACTAGACTTTAGTCTATAATGAGCATGAAGTGCTTGGAGAGAGGGAGGTCTTATGGAGGGAGGGAGGGCTCAATGGGCAGATTTGTGATAGAACAGGGACAGTGAAATGTCAATGGCAGAGTCAAGGTGGTGGATATGCAGGTCTTAATGGTAAAATCCTTTCAACTCTGCTATATGTGTTAACATTTTTGTAATGAAATGTTGGGGGGGAAATGCTATATTTCCAATCCTAAACCTTACAGAAAACTGTCTATAGAATAAACTGTACCAGCTCCATCAGCTGCACACCAAGATGTGGAGATGTCTGCTGCAAACCAGCAGCCTTAGGAAATTACTAGAAATGCAGATTCGTGGGCCCCACCCTGCCGTGGACCCAGCATTGAATCTTCTCATACTCAGATCTGAGGACCACACCACTGAACTAAGATGCGCTGCAGAGCCCCCAGCCTGCCTCTCTCCCAAAGAAACAGCAGCCTCTCTGCACACTATTCGTGCTGCAAGGGTGAACACACGAGATCCAGTGCTCCACCGAGAGAAGGGGACAGATGCATTCTCCTTGGGGCCACCCTCAGTGCACAGCCCAGTGCTCACCTTCAGCAAGGTCCTGCAACCTGCAAAAATGAGAGACAGTCACTGACCATAGCTGTGGCTCCGGGAGTAAGGAGGCCACAGCAGACAAGGCAGCCCCACAACCTCCAGCCTCCTGGGCAGGCAGCATGTGGCCCTGGGTGAGGCCCCTCCCTACCGGGGCTCTGAGGCGGAGTACTGCCCCTTCTCCCCCGGCTGAGGCCACTGGAGAGGGGAGGGGCAGTCCCAGGGCAGAGGGAAGGACAGGTCGGCCACTTTAAGAGAAACACTTACTTTCTGATCACTTTGTAGAGACGCTTCCTGTTCTGAGAAGGGGTGTCCTGGTGGCTGGCCATTTCAAACAGCCTGCTAGCAACAGCCTCATAGTCAAACTGTTTCACAAAGAGACACCACAGACAAAGAGTCAGTTACTGCCCAGGTACCGCCAGAGTGTGAACCAAGTAGAGAGCAGCACCTGGACCACAAGGACGCAACCTGCTATCCTCTCAGCAAAAGTGACTGTCTACAGCTCACTCCACGACAGCGCCGCCCAACAGAAATGTGAGGGGGGTGGGGGGCAGCCTCTGCACATTTAAATTCTATGGTAGCCACATGAAAAAGTAAAATTAAGTTTGATACACTTTATTTACCCCAAGATACCTAAAATCTAATTCCCCAAGTAATCAATACTTAAAAGTTGTAAGTATTCCACATTCCCAATTTGCCTGAAATCACAAGCCCTATCCCCTGAGCTCTGACACCCAGGAGGCACCCCAATGTTGGCCCTGGGCTCGCACCACCTCATTGGGCCCAGCACCCCAGGAGATGGCCGGGGCAGTCCTGGGGTGGCCGACAAATGGTGACACCTCCTACCTGAAGGACGGCACCAGCGCTGTCGTCGTTGTCTCTGGCCTGCTCCTCACCCATGTCCGGCTCAGCTCCATAGGAGCCTAGAATGAAAGGGCTCCATCAACTCAAAGACACGCTTGGTGTCGCAGGCCCCCAATACACACATCTAGGAACTAGTCCCATCTGCCAGGGCCTAAAACCTGGGCAGAGTCCACAGGTGTAGGCTGGGGAGCCCACAGCACGAGGCCGTGGGGGACCCCCGACAGCCTCAAGCTGAGGGGAGCGGGGCCACCACAGGCCTGGAAACAAGGGAGACATCCCAGAGAGCGTTAAAGCCTGACCAGTCCTTAAGGAGAGAAACAGAGGGAATTGTGAGGGGGCGTCTTAGGCAAACGTGGCGTCAGACACTCTAGAAGGGAGGAAGCGGGCAGCTAGTCCAGCCACAGGGTGGGCCTGTTGGACATGATGTTTCAGATCATCTGAGGCTTTGATGTCACTGCTGACAGAAGAAAACTTATGGACCACAGGTGGCCATGAGGGACAAGGGGTAGGTGGGTGTGTGGCAGATGGAGGAGGGGCAAGTTAACTCTTAATTTATGGTCAAATGACCTTCCACAAGCATGCCAGGACCATTCAGTGGGGAAAGGACAGTCTCTTCAGGGAATGATGAGGGGAAAGTTGGACATCACGTGCAAAAGAGTAAAGCTCGATCTTCCCTTGTACCACATACAAAAATTAACTCAAAATGGACCAACGACCTATATGTAAACCTAAACCAATAGAACTTCAGGAAAAAACAGGACAAAAGCTTCATGACATTGGATGTGGCACTGAGTTCTTGGATGTTACACAAAAGGCACAACTAACAAGAGAAAAAATAGACAAAATAGACAATGAAAATTTTAAAATGTGCATTAAAAGAGACTACCAATAGAGTAAAAACACAGCTCAGAATGGGAGAAGCTATCCACAAATCAAGCATCTGGTAAGGGGTTAGTATCCAGAATATATAGAGAACTCCTAAAACCCAACAACAAAACAATACAGTAGAAAATGTACAAAGGACGTGAACAAACCCTTTTCTAAACAGATATACAGATGGACAACAAGCACACAAAAGATGCTCAACATCACTACTCATTAGGGAAATGCAACTCAAAACCACAACCAGATACCACCTCACACCCATTAGGGTGACTATCAAAAAACACATGAGAAAATGACAGTGTTGTGCACTGTTGGTGGGAACGTAAAAATGATGCAGCAGCTGTGGAAAAAGTATAGTGGTTTCTAAAAAAATTAAAAATAGAATTATCATATGCTCCAGTAATCCCACTTCTGGGTATATACCCAAAATAATAAAAAGTAGCGGCTCAAAGAAACACACTATGGGCCCCGCCCCAATCTGATCTCGGAGTGTAAATTCAGAGAAACACAAATGGGTAACAACAGAAAGTGGAATTGAAATAGTGGGAATCAGCACTTTTGCACAGGAAGCTTTGGGAGATGTTATTTACTATAGTCTTCCTGAAGTCAGGAAAAAATTGGACAAGCAGGATGAGGCTGGTCCTGGCCAGATAGCTCAGTTGGTTAGAGCATCGTCCTTATATGCCAAGGTTGCAGGTTCAATCCCCGGTCAGGGCAAATACAAGAATCAACCAGTGCTGTGTAAAATAAGTGGAACAACAAATCCATGTTTCTCTCCTTTCCTCTCTCTAATATCAATAAAATTTTTAAAAATTTTAATAAAAAAAGATGAGTTTGATGCTTTGACAGGTGTGAAAGCTGTGCGTGAACTCTCTCCTCCTCTGTCAGGAGTAGTAACTGAAATTAATGACGCTCCTGCAGAAACTCCAGGGCTTGCCAACAACCCCTGTCCTGAAGATGGCTGGCTGGTCACGATGACACTGAGTGACTCTGCAGAGCTAGAGAGCTAATGAGTGGAGGAGCACGAGAAACCCATAAATCTGCTGGGAGTGAAGATGAGCCCCCTAAATAAAGCAGCATGAAACAACTTCGTCTAGCATGGTTGTCTTACGTTAGTGGTGGTCAGATTTAGTGTAAAAATGGACAAAGAAACCACAACGCCACTGGAAGAAAATACCCCTTAACTTTCTAATGCTGGCAGATAAAACACAACATGCATCTTTCTGACAGCAGCCTATGATTTTCAGGCTGGGCTACAGTTGTATCAGAATTCCTGAAATTTTCTGTGGTAAAACCTAGTTGTAAAAATTATGCAATTCAAGGATAACATTGTTATCTAAAGTCTTATATAATACTGTAACTTGCTTCCATTCATCTCTGCATTTGGGTCAAAATACTTAACTATCCTTCTACTGGAGGTAAATGGCTTGGAGACAAGCTGTTACAGAGTCAAATAACAAATACTATCTTCACTCTGCAATGTATTGCGTTTGCTAGTGCTATTTCTATACAGTGAGGCAACAGCCTCACAGGAAAAAAAAAAAGGTTTAAAAATAAAACATTCAACTTCATTTAAAAAAAGAAAAAGCACTGCCCTGGCCGGTTTGGTTCAGTGGTTAGAACGTCGGCCCATAGATTGAAGGGTCCTGGGTTCAATTCCAGCCAAGGGCATGTACCTCAGCTGCAGGCTCGGTCCCAGTTGGGACCCATGTGGGAGACAATCAATTGATGTGTCTCTCTTACATTGAGGTTTTTCTCTCTCTCTCTCTCCCACTCTCTCTGAAAAGCAATGGAAAAAATATCCTCGGGTGAGAATTTAAAAAAAAAAAAGCTACACTGTACACCTAGTTTCACAGCATCATTCACAGCAGATAAAACGCAGGAAGAACACAGGTGTCCATCGACAGATGACTGGATAAGCAGCATGTGGTCCATGCACACAATGAAACACTCTTGGGCCTTAAAAAGAACAAAATCCTGACACAGGCTACGACACAGATAAACCTTGAGGACCTTCTGCTGAGTGGAATAAGTCACAAAGACAAATACTACATGATCCAGTAATATGAAGCTCCTAAAGTAATAAAATTCACAAAGGCAGAGTAGAATGGTGGGTGCCAAGGGCGGGGGAGGGAGGCAGTGGAGAGTTAGTGTTCAGTGGGGACAGAGTTTTAGTTTGTCAAGATGGAAAGTTCTGAGATGGTCAGTGGAGATGGCTGCACAATGTGAATGCGCTTAATGCCGCTGACTTGTAAGAAGAATGATTATAATTATAAACTCTGCTATGTGTACTTACTACAAAAAAAACTTGGAGATGGTTGAGTCCTAAAGCTGGTGAACAATGACACGCTTGCCACAGCCACAGGACGCCATACAGTGCACGACACAGGCACCCAGCAGGATCGGCCATGCAAGAGCAGCTGAGGTGCCCTAATCCACCCCATCAGCACCGGGCCAGACTGGACGCCGCTGCTGCCAAAGTACCACAGGTCCTGTCCCACTGCCATGTGCTGGGACATTTACTCGAGGGGTTCCCTTTATTCATTCTTTCAGTCATTCCCTCATCTAGAAATTCATTTGTTCACTCACTCATTCGCATCTAGACTCCCGGCTTCTGCACTAGCCAATGCTCCTGGCACTTGGGGACGCAGCTGTGATCAACAGAGCTCCCTGTCCTGGTGGAGCTGACATTCAGTGGGGAACATGGGCCAGGAACATGAACAAGTGATTTACGTGGCTATAAGTGAGTTATGCCAGGAAGTGAGACAGCAAGTGAGGCAGGGTGAGGGCTGGGAGGCTTTGCTTTAAGCAGGTGGTCAGGGTAGGGCCCCTAGAGTGACAGAGGGTGGAGACTGGTGGGACAGAGGGGCCGGGGAGTCAGGATGGCACACACAGAGAGAGGCTGAGAGAGTGAGTGATGTGAGCACTTGTTTTTAAAGGACACCCTGCCAGCCAGGCCAAGAACAGACTTTGGGGCAGAAACAAGGACACTAGACAGGAGGGAAATGTGGGGATCCCAGGAAGTGCACTACTGCCTCGGAGCAGGGCGGGTGGCGCAGAGATGCAGACATACCATGTTGAACACTGGACCCTCACCTTTCGGTGGCCTCTCAAACCGCTTCTTGGCTGGCATGTCCTGTTCCTGCTCGTCCTCTTCTGACACCTCCCCCTCCATTTCATTCATTAGGTCTTCGATGGCAAGCGGGGCCTGTTCCACAATCGTTTCAAAGATGCCCCGAGTAATGTTATGTAAAACCAGGGTGCTGAAGGGAGACACGAAAGCAGGCCAACAGTGGGACCCTCAAGGAAAGGAACTGGTGACTCCTGCCTGTGACCATGTTCCCCCATCACTGCCCATCGGTCGGTGACTCTGTCATGTGGATACAGCACACACTGCCTTCCCAAGAGGGAACAGCAAGTTCCCAAAGACAGTCCCTTGAAGTCAGTGCAAAAGAAGAGGCCAGCCGGGGAACCCTGCCACTTACTCCTTAGTCTGGGCAGCGATTCTGCAGAAGGGATCAATGAACTTGAGGTTCTGGTCTGCCGTCAGCTACAGGGGAAGTAAGCAGAGCTGCCTCAGTCCCTCCTTCATGAACATCCAGGGAGGAGCTCAGTGCGGACCTGCCCAGGCCCCACCCACACCCCAGCCCTCCTTACCTCGTCTGCACCCACTCGGGCCAGCTCCTCTAGGAAGATCTCAATGAAGTGGCTCTTCACCCCATTGGGGGCCTGGCTGTCAGGGTGCAGGATCTCAGTCGTCAGAAGCTCCAACAGCTGCTCAATCTGTCTGAAGAAAGAAATGAGCAAATACAGCGGCAGTCATGACAGGCACCAGGGCACTGGTGTCCTCTGCCTATATGGAGCAGACACCCTGTCCTCCAACACGCCCATGTTCAACTGCACACTGGTCTGTCCCACTACAAAGGACCCTGGCAACTACCAATCTGTGGGACCTTATCAGCAATAAAACATACGGCATAACTGATGCTCAGCTGCAAAGTGTAAGATGTGTAAGCACTCACAGGACCTTCCTCTATCCTTGAGACGACCACAGGGGAGAGGCCTGGTATGACAGGAGGCTGCCACCACTGTGTCTCACCCCCTCCCACCTCTGTCCTTGCTGGGAAATGCTCAGGAAGGCTCGCGAGGACAAAGCAAATGCTGAGAAAGGAGATAGAGGTCATGGAAGGGGGATGAGCTAGCTCCTGGGTCCTGCTTCACCGAGTACACGGCCCATGAAGTCACAACAGACCTCTCCCTGGCACATTGGTTTCAGTGGTCACAGAGGCCTGGGCTCCCAGCTCAGAGAGCTCCAGAGACCCATCTCAGTGGTCTGGGTGCATCTGAATACCTGGGCACCTGATGACACACAGGTCCCTATACCCGAGCTGGAGAATGGGTGTTCTTTAAGGAGCTGCCTGGATGATGTGGGTGCACGGCAACAGTGGGGATTCACTGGGTAGGGAAGGAAAAGTGATGCTCGGGAAAAAGGAGCCGAGGCCAGGGCAGGTGTGAGAGCCCTCCTCCCGGGGCTGCTGACAATGCTAACGAAGCTTACCAAAAACAAACTGGTCACAGATGCTGTGTCAGGAAGAGAAAGGGCAGAGGAGGCCACACCAGCAGCACTGGCCACCCAGGGGCCCAGCCCTTCAAAATGACCTCTGGGCTCAACTGCTGGTAACAACAAAGATGAAACTACCTCCGTAATGACAAACCAATGAAAAGTCAGCTACAGCACACTTGTCCCTTTAACACTTAATTCCGCTTCAGTCACTAGCTACCTACTGGGGAACCCACAGTCCAAGGTCCTGAAACGCATGAGACCCCGGGCCTCAAGGTCCTCATGGGGACTTAGGGATGACAACCACTCAAAACCAGAGGACTCCTGCCCCAGTGTAGTCACCCACAAGGATTCTAAACTTAGAAAAATTCAGGTAACTAAAGTACAACTCCTCCTGATCTTTTTCATATGGGAAAAAGGCAGCCAGGGATAAGATTTTGCTAACTTTGCTTTCAGAAGATCAAAAGTCCTAGCAACCTTGGCCTGTAAGCTGGACTCTGGTTCACTAGCTATTCTAACACCTGCGGACTAGTTTTAGTACCCATGTGCTTGAAATAAACTCCTTCAATGTATACTTTTTAATTATAAATCAATTCAAAATACATTGCTTCTAAGCCCCTTTACCCCTACCCCAATCCCAAGACCATGCAGCAGCAGAAACACAATGTTTTTGGTGCATCATCAGTGAAATAAAGAGCAGTTTGCAAATATCATATGACACCACCTTCGTACCATGTGCACAGAACAATGCAACATCTTAAAAATTGTTTGTTGGAATTCCTTTTTCACAGTCTTATAAATTTTCTGAGTTTTTTATACTGAACATGTATCACCCTCAAAATTAGAAAACAATTATAAACCAAATTTTAAATTAATTTAAAAAAAAATCTTTAAATGTGAACATTCAGAAGCCCCCTTTGTGTGGTGGATCTCAGTCTGTCCCCCCACCCGTCCCCCGAAGGTTTAGAAACGTGCTCCCCATCACCTGAATGCACAGATTCAGGCCAAGCAGGAGTCCCTCCCACCCCGCCCTTGCTCCCGGGTCTCCCAGAGGGGCTTGGAAGAGCTGAGACCCAGCAGAGCCCAGAGCCCGCCTAACTGCAGCAGAAATGGGGGGCCCTTGCAGTTTATGGGTACACAGATTTCCCAACCACAAGCACCACTATAAAAGAAGTCTGCCCAGCCGGGCGTGAAGCAGTGGCTGAGCATCAACCTAGGATCCAGGAGATTTCAGTTTGATTCCCAGTCAGGGCACATGCCCGGGTTGCGGGCTCGATCCCCAATCGGGGGCGTGCAGGAGGCACCTCATCAGTGACTCTCATCATTGATGTATCTATCTCTCTCTCCCTCTCCTTTCCTCTCTCTGAAGTCAATAAAGATATATATATTTTTTAAAAAGTGAGAAGTCTGGACAAATTATTTCTAGAACTGGGGGCTATGACTATTGATAATAGAGCTAAATACACTAACACACAACATATATTATAACGAGAGAACTCAATTCTAATTCACAACTTACCAACAAGGTTAAAAACAAACATTTCCATGAACACATGTAAACTGTAATTTTCAAAACACCTTCATTTAAGTACCATCGGGTCACTCTTTAATGTTAACGCTGACATCTCTTTACAACAAATAATTAAAAGAGAATCTGTGAACCCAATCCCCAAGTGGCGCAAATCTGGAATGGCCAGTGAGCAGACAGACTCAGGACGTGCTGTGCACACTGACCTTTCTTCCCATCCCTGCGTTTTCAGGGCCGTCAAGGACTCATTCAGGACCATACGCATGAGCTGTGGCACAAAAGGAAACCCAGTTAGTGGTAGCACAACTCAGACTTCCCCAGAAAGCTCCTCTGCCCCAGGTCACCTGCATGCCCCAAACACCCAAGCTGGAGGTGGACAGGACACCAAGCCCTCAGGACTCTGGCTCGGAGATCACATTGCTCCCCAGAGCTGAGATGCCCCAACTTTCTGAGGTCACCAAGAAGCCAGGCTCACAGAGGACACCTGGGTATCAACTGCAGCACCATGAGCAGCAGCTAACACGGACTGCTCCCTGTTTCAGGAGTAAGGACCAGTAATGAAGCACAGGAGGGAGAGGTCCTGCCAAAACCGGGTCTCACAACTGAGAACATCTCCTCCCAACTGTGTGGAAGGGTTTCCTTTCTCTCCCATTTTCATTCAGTAAACTCTCCCCCCCTTTAGTCTCATCATCTAAATCAAGCCCAGTGCCTGCCCCACAATTCCCCACTTCCCCAGTACAATGGCTCACAGTATTTCTGGCCCAGTTCTCCTGCATTCCACATAATGACCCAACATGCCCATAGAGGGTCCAGTCGCGGTGAGAGGCGAGAGAACAGTATAGAGCATACCTGGCAGCCAGAACGCCTATCCTGGAACAATGGAGACCTGTCCTACATGACTCCCTAACTTCTGGGCCATCAAAAGGGTCAGCCTTTATGGGGGCTGTGCTGCTAGATGTGGTCACAAGGGGAACCTGGGAAATGGGCCTCAAAAAGCAACCAAATCCGCCCGGCCGTGGCTCAGCGGTTAAGCATCGACCTAGGATCCAGGCGACCAGGGTTCGATTGCCGGTCAGGGCACATGCCCGGGTTGCGGGCTCGATCAATGACTCTCATCATTGATATTCCTATCTCTCTCTCTCCCTCTCCTCTCCTCTCTCTGAAATCAATAAAGATATATTTAAAAAAAAAAGACAAAAAGCAACCGAATCCATCTGACCTGAGGATCCAGCGACTGCACCTCAGGGCAACAGCATGCTGACATGTAAGAGCTCCTCTGCCTTATAAACCTGTATTCTGTAAAGTTGCAAAGCCTGACCCACCTGCTCCTCTGCCCATGGCCTTAGTGCCCACCCTCTTTCTCTCCTCAGCTCTCTGCCTGGCCTACCAGCTGGCCCACACTTTAATATATGACATGCAGTCCACATAACCCTGACCCAAGACTAAGCTGATCTGAATAACAGAATCACACAAACTGCAGCCCTGAGGGACCCGTCCTTAGTGAGGCCCGGCCACTGCCCATTCAGTGTGCCCATTGGGTCACCTGCTGTCAGATAGCAACACTGCCCATTCACCTGGGGACTTCCCAGTCTCAGTGAACACCACTGTAGTAACAACACTATAGCTCAACATGGAGAGAAGTTTCTGAGGGCAAATAAGTAACCTAAGTTCACAGGAACACAGCACAGGAAAGAGGAAGAGAAGCTGGATTCTGCACAATTACATTACTGCACTCGCCCAGAAGCTGACTTCAGGTGCTGGGACCAAAGCAGCCCCAAGAGCCCCATCCAGAGCATGAACGCCACAAAGCTCTGCCGGCATTCAGGCTTCACTGCAGTTCTGCCCAGGAGGGAAGTCTTACCCTCCTCTGAACTGAAAGTCTGGATGCTGTTTCAAAGACTGAATTTTTGCCCACTTGCCAACCCTCCGAGATGGGACAAAAATGGCACAATCCTAGGCAGGTGCACTTAAACATGACCTAGGTTCCCCAAGCGACCCACTGCACTATGTGTCAGTCGTCAGGGTGGCTCAGCTCTGCCTGTCAGGGTGGGAGGCTCAGAGGCCAGACCACTCTATGCGGCACCCCCAACACTCCCTCTCTCCTCAACTCTGAGGGACAGCCCATCCGGGTGCTGGGTGCTCAGACCTGCTTCCCACACTGCCACGCTGGCACTGCAGGGAACCCTTACCATGTAGTACTTGTCCAGGCGCAGCCTGTCTATGCCCGTCCACTCGCGGTTCATGGTCTGCCAAAAGGTCTGAAGGAACAGGTGCTCTGCAGGAGGAAAAAGCAAGAAGACAATCAGGGAGGGACATGGAAGCCACTTGGGGAAGTGAGAGACTATGAAGACGTGGTCAGGACACTGCACAACCAACCTGACGTTCTCAGTTCGAGTTTGCTGAGCTGTGAAGCGATGCCAGGGATTTGGCTTAGAATGGAGCTATGAGGAGCCTCCGAAAGAAAAGAAAAGCTCGCCTACAACTCTGACCGACAGCCACATTCTCTGAAGAACCGGTATGAAGAGCATGCAAGGCTACCAGCGAGAAAGGAGGCTGCTCGGGCCACTTCCCCCGCAGGCCCTCGGCCTCCCCATGGCCGTGGCTGAGGCCTTGCCTGACACCTGCCGGACCTCACTACTTGCCCCACTAGCTGCACTGAGTAATCAAGCCCAAACCCACCGACAATGGCTATGCCAGAGTACTATGGGCTGAGCTGTGTCCCTCAGACTCCTGGGTTGAAGCTCTAACCCCCATACCTAGAATTATGACTTTATTTGAACCTCTTTAAAGAGGTAACTAAGATACATTAAGGTCACTGGTGGCCGGCCCTCATCCATTCAGGACATACACAGACACAGAGGGACGACCATGTGAGGACACAGGGAGAAGACAATGTCTGCTTGCCACAAACAGAGAGGCCTCAGGAGAAACCAACCCTGCCCACACCTTGACGTCAGGACACAAAAAGGCATCTCTTATCTCCTGGTACAGGCTCTGCCAACAGCAAAGGGTCGGTCAGAAGGTTCAGTAATGGGTGGGCCTGCGATCACTAACTCATTCAGTGTCACTAGCTGAGGACAGACTCCTCTGCAGGTTCTTAGGAGGTAAAAAGCACAGATGACAGTCTCCTCCACTAATCACTCCAATGTAGTTAGAGACCTTCCCAAGATGACTAAGTAGTTCCTGTGATTTTTGGGCACCCTCCCCCCCAAATTTTGATCCTTCACCTGCTGAGGTCTCACTGAACTAAACCCACCAGCAATGGTCCTAGCGCCTATGCCAGTGATGCTGCCTGGCGCTGCTACCCTCAGGGCAGCATGGGGAGGTCCAAAATGCTGGTGCCCAGGCCCCGCCCTGAGAACTCCACTTAAAGAGACCAGGGTCTGGACACAAAGGTTTCTAAAGACTCCCAAGTGACCGCGATGAGCAAGCAGCAGGGCTGGGAACTACTGATCTTGGTCAGAACAGAAACAAGAGTTAGAAAAGCTCACTGAGGAACTCACAACTATCAAGGTGAAATTCAGTCAAGCAGCCTGGTAACATCATACTAGATTGCCACTTTAGTTTTAAAATATAAGATATTAGCCCTTTAAACTTCTGAGTCTAGTGTATTTTAGGTAAATGAAGTGTTTCACACATAAACACCAGCAGACCCCAGCTACACCAGGGGCCTCTCTCTCACTCAAGATCTTAGAACCCAAGACTTCTGTGTGTAGTAGCTAACTGACCAGCGACTCTGGCTTTACCTAAGGGTAAGGATACTCACGTGCCTCTGTTGTTTGAAAAGCATGGATGAGCTGGGAAATGGTCCTTCCTAGTTCCTCCTGTGCAGGAAACAGTAAAAAAAACGCAAATCCTGAAGAAATGTGGTCTTACAACAATACGCAACAGGAGAAAGACAAACATTCAACTGTCCACTCCTCACAAGAATAGGCTTCCACTGGTTGCTCAGCCCAATGTGCATGAGGTTTGCAGGCTACACCCCTGCTGTGAAAGGCTTCCCTCTACAGCTGGGGCCAGCAGAACCTTGCAAAAAGGGCAGTAACTACCCTCATGATCAAGGCTGAGCCATGAGCAACAGAGGCTGGCCATGAAAGGAGGGAATGAGAGAAGGCAAGGCAGAGCGGGGAGCCTCAGGACATGCAGCCACCTGACCAGCAGAAAAAGGGAGTGAACCAGAGCCCTGCAAATTACTCACTGCCTGCCTGTGTCACTGGCCAAGCACCACCTAGTGCACTTGCTAAATAGATAATTCCAGAGACTCCCCTGAGACTCTAGTTTAGTAGGCATGGAATACAGCACAGGAATCTGCATTTTAAATACTGCCCCCACCACCCAGGGGGTCTTCAAGAAAAGTAAACAATTCATAGTCTGAGACACACTATTCTAAAAAGGCTAGCATTTTAGGGCACCGAAGCTACTCTAAGATACCACAGTAATGGATACATATCATTATACATTTGTCCAAACCCTCCGACCACACAACACCAGGGGCAATTCCTCAGGTAAACTATGGACTGTGGATGGTGATGATGTGTCAATGTGGTTCATTGATTGTAACAAATGTACCTGATGGTGGGAGATATTGATTACAGAAATAGTTATGCATCGGGTGAGGGTGGGGAAGGGAGCAGGAGGTAACAGGAAATCCCTGTACCTTTCTCTCAATTTTGCTGTGAATTAAAACTGCTCAAAAAAAGTTTTCTTTTTAAAATGACTGCAGCCCAGCCGGGTGTGGCTCAGCGGTTGAGCATCAACCTAGGATCCAGGAGATCGGGGTTTCATTCTCCGTCAGGGCACATGCCTGGGTTGCGGGCTAGGCAGCCGATCAATGACTCTCTCATCATTGATGTTTCTATCTCTCTCTCTCCCCTTCCTTTACTCTCTCTGAAATCAATAAAGATATGTTTTTTTTAAAAAAAATGACTGCAGGAGAAATCTGTGTCTCAGAAGACTTGGACTTTCTCCCTTGGTTTATATCATTTTAGGGTTCAGTTTGTGATTTCTCACAAACACAAGACAGATAATCCAGGCTTCAACCCTACAATGACTTGCACTGACAAACAGCTGTGTGTGTGGCTACAGTGCTCCACTCAGCAAGTATAAGACCCTCTCTAACCCAAGGCTCTCGCTCTCCAGCCATTAAAAAAAAAGCATCGAAGCCGTAAAACTTCACCCAGAGTCCACCACAAGCCCACCTGCCCTCCTACTGACACTGCTGCTCCAGCTTCTTCTGCCTTCCCATACACTCACCTGGAGGAGCGGCTTGTCCTGCATCCACATGCAATAAAACAGTCCTTTCCAAACCTTCAGCAGCTCGTCATGAGTGAAACCACCTGCACCAAAAACAGCAACACTCAGGTGAAGTGAACCCCAACCTTTTAGTAGCAGGGATGAAGACAGAGAAAGGTGACTCCCTGAACTAGGCCAAAGTCCTATGACAGCAAAGGGACCTGGCCCACCCCTCTCAAGCCTTCCTCCTAACTCTGAACCCAGTGGGCCTGGGCCTGCGGGGAGGGACTCCCTCAGGTAACTGCCATTTCATTCTATCAATAAACACTAAGAATCTACAAGTCTCAGGCATCGAACTGCATTTTTGGACATTCAAAATTCAGCAAGTCACCATCTCCTGAGCTGCACGGTGGCTGGCTACAAACGTGAATCTGTTGATCATTCATCCAGCGTTACACTTGGGGTTTGTGCGCTTTTCTGCGTTACGCTTCAAATTTCGAAGAAAATTTTAAGTCATCAGGCTAGTAAGGGCGGAAGGTATATAAAACCACTCAAAGCATTTACTGAGCTCCTGTGTTCAATGAGCAGTGAGTGGATCTCAGACTTCAGCACTAGCACTGGAGTCACTTGGAGGGCTCATAACCTAGAGATGCTGACCCTACGGCCGGTGTCTGACTCAGCAAGGCTGGGATGAGACAAGAATGTGCATTTCTAACCAGAGCCCCGCTGAAGCCGGAGTGGCTGCCGGGGCACCACGCCTGCAGACCCTCTGCTGCGGAGACGGGGAACGAGCAT